TGAGGCAGTAATTAAAGCAAAAGGAGCCCCTACCAAGTATTGAGTATATATACAGTAAATGAACATACTTTTCAGAAGGACAGCAATTCAATAAAAATGTTTTTTTAAAGGTCTTATGAGGTATTCTAATTGATTGAGATAGTGAATTGGTGGGTTTTTGTTAAATGTGGCCAAAATCATCACAATTAAAAGACCCAACGGTTTAAACTACTTCAGTCTGTGTGGACTGAATTTATATAATACACGAGTTTCACTATTTGAGTTGAATTACTGAAATAAATGGACTCTTCCACAACATTCTAATTTATTGAGATGCACCTGTATTTTAACTGTAGGTCGACCATTTTGACTTGGTCATTTTAAAAGTAGAGTGCAAGGCGAAAAAGTATGGTCACCCCAGCTTTAGACAGTAAACGTTAGAGCTGCAGCAAATGATTCATTAATTGATTAGTTGACAGAAAAATAGTTTTGATAATCATTTTTTTCATCAGAAATGTCAAACATTTGTTGACTCCATCCATCCATCCATTAGTTAGGATGGTTTTAACCTGTTCCTCAAACGAACCCTAAGATGGCAGCACAGTTTTACACAGTAGCACACACAGATACAATATTCAGCAATATTACCACATGTATGTTTTCCTTTGTCATGTATGTTGGTTGAATATCTTTGGGTTTTGGATTCTTGCTCTAACCAAACAAGACATGTGATGACACCACCTTTGTCTGTGGGAAATTATAAAACAACTGAAACAATTGAGAAATGATCAGTAGCTACAGCAGGAAACATAAAAGGGAGAAAACGGGCCCAGTCACAGCTTTGTATTGTTATTATTATAATGTCTGCCTATGCTGATGTCTGGATTTGTAGCCTACAGAAATATGAATCCTGCTTAACTCTTCTCCGGAAAGCGAATAAGCGTGTTTTTCAAAATGCTGAACAAGTCAACAATATACATGATGGAGCCGTTTCACCTACAGGAGAATGTAAGACTTTTAATGTCCAAGATACCTGAAAGGGGTATTTGTTCTGGCAGGGGATGAATCCTCCTCTGTTCTTGACGATCTCAACACACCTGATGCGACTCAGCTCGATCGAGCCTCTCCTGCATTTCTTCTGTTGATGAAAATGACATATTGTTTCTATTTTTGTAAACAGATTAAAGCTACAGTGAGTAAGTTAAGGTAGCGCTAGCATGAAGCTCCAAACCAGTCCACTCTGCTCCGCCCTGCTCCACTACAACCTGCTACGCTCCGCCCAGCTCTTCAGATATTTGTTGTTATGAAGTTACAATAAATGAGAATGCAAGAAAACTCACTGATCAGGCAGAAATAATTAATAATCTCTGATTGGTCAGGAGAAGATTTAGAAGCTGCTGCCAGTGCTGGTCTATAAGTCTGGGTCACAGGAGACACTGACAACTCCTCTCCACATTAGGACACGTTAAAAATATTTGAAAAAAGTTACCATTAAGGTCAATTTTAACATCCACAATGAGATGTCTAATATCTTATTTTGTTGCATAATGCTTTGTGTGCAGTTTATCAGAAGAGATCAGAAGTACAACATTTTGATAAGAAATTTAAAACGGTCACTTCCTTGAGCAGTGTCTGATCGTGATAACAGCTGTGTCTACATGCAAGTCTGTGTGCGCCACAGTTTTTATCAGTGTAAACCACAAAAAATACTAAATGTTTTAACCTTTGTGAACTAGAAGTCAGCAAAGTTTGTCATTTGATTCTTGATCTGTGATAACAATGTGTTAATTCTCACCTTTTTTATGTGCAGAGTTTAAAATGAACAACAAATGTAGGATTTTGGTTATTTTTAATTAAAGTAATAGTTTAATTTATCTGAAATCATGCTGACTGATACCATTTTGATGTTTGTACCAGAGATACAAAGCTGAAGCCAGCAGCCAGTTAGCATAGCTTAGCATAAAGATTGAAAACGGGGGGAACAACTAGCCTAACTGTGTCCAAAGTTAACAAAATCCAGTTACTGGCATACGTAAAATGCACAGATATCATTTGTTTAACTGTGGACACTTAGGTGTAAAGACATTTTGTGATTTTACAATGTAAACAGATTCATTACTGATATTATATATGTGCCACAAGCATAAAATATTCCTTTGTTCATTTATAAAATCTAACTCAACTGTAAAAAATAAAGAAATGTGAATAGAAGCTAATCAAGTCGACCTTGGGTCTTCCTTGGTAGTAGGACAGCCTGGTCCTGGTGAGGACAAACAGCCGCTCTTTGTAGTTCAGCGGTGAAATCCTCTTCTTCTGCTGCGAACGTTTGATCAGCGTCTCCACCAATAGCATCTCAGCACTCGTCGTGGACCCGCCCACGCCCCCAGACCATTGGTGGATGTCCTCGGAACAAGCGAGCTGGAGCTGAGCTGGGGTGGCCATTTTGGTCTCTGCGTGACGGAAACGTGTGCAATCTATGAATGTACTGAAAGATTAAATGAGGTATTAAACACCTTTCACTTTAAAAAGGGGCGGAGACCCGGAGGAAACTCTGAGTTTCCCGAACAAAACCTGCTCGCCAGCAGGTTAGGGTCACAGAGTAAGTTGCCATAGTAACTGACTCTGAGTTTAGATTACCTCTCTTTGTGAAACGGGTTTGACTTACCCCGCTTTCACGGGTTTAAGTTACCTCCGTTTCTGAAACCGAAAACTCAGAGTTGCCCTCATTTCGGGGTTAACAAACTCTGAGTTTCGACAAAACCACCTTCTTGAAATAGGCCCCTGGACTATAAGTCTGGGTCACAGGAGACATCGACAACTCCTCTCCACATTAGGACACATTAAAAAATATTTGAAAAAAAGTTACCATTAAGGAGCAATTTTAACATCCACAGTGAGATGTCTAATATCTTGTTTTGTTGCATAATGCTTTGTGTGCAGTTTATCAGAAGAGATCAGAAGTACAACATTTTGATAAGAAATTTAAAACGGTCACTTCCTTGAGCAGTGTCTGATCGTGATAACAGCTGTGTCTACATGCAAGTCTGTGTGCGCCACAGTTTTTATCAGTGTAAACCACAAAAAATACTAAATGTTTTAACCTTTGTGAACTAGAAGTCAGCAAAGTTTGTCATTTGATTCTTGATCTGTGATAACAATGTGTTAATTCTCACCTTTTTTATGTGCAGAGTTTAAAATGAACAACAAATGTAGGATTTTGGTTATTTTTAATTAAAGTAATAGTTTAATCATGCTGACTGATACCATTTTGATGTTTGTACCAGAGATACAAAGCTGAAGCCAGCAGCCAGTTAGCATAGCTTAGCATAAAGATTGAAAACGGGGGGAACAACTAGCCTAACTGTGTCCAAAGTTAACAAAATCCAGTTACTAGCATACGTAAAATGCACAGATATCATTTGTTTAACTGTGGACACTTACGTGTAAAGACATTTTGTGATTTTACAATGTAAACAGATTCATTACTGATATTACATATGTGCCACAAGCATAAAATATTCCTTTGTTCATTTATAAAATCTAACTCAACTGTAAAAAATAAAGAAATGTGAATAGAAACTAATCAAGTCGACCTTGGGTCTTCCTTGGTAGTAGGACAGCCTGGTCCTGGTGAGGACAAACAGCCGCTCTTTGTAGTTCAGCGGTGAAATCCTCTTCTTCTGCTGCGAACGTTTGATCAGCGTCTCCACCAATAGCATCTCAGCACTCGTCGTGGACCCGCCCACGCCCCCAGACCATTGGTGGATGTCCTCGGAACAAGCGAGCTGGAGCTGAGCTGGGGTGAGAGCCACGATGTTAAATGTAAGTACTTTTCAGTTCTGTGAAGTGTTTTAGTGTCTTTGGGCTCATTGTTTTGGATTTACACCATTTTACCCAAAAAGCAATAATAATTTACCATTTTAATAATTTTTCATTTTATGCTACTCCTACATTTCAGAAGCACTTTTACTCCAATTTATGAAGTTACTTTGATTAATAATACTACATAATAGTGTATTTTAAAGGTAACATAAAACTTTATTAGCTCCACTTAATTTTGCAACCGAATCCATGTTTTCCATAATTTTGAATGCAGTTAATTTGTAATAGAGTGTTTCCACGTTGGTATTTCTAGTATTACTTAAAAAGATCCGAGTACTTCTTCTGCTCTAACACTGTAGATAACGATCAAGAAAATCAAAACCAAAAATGACTTAATGAACATTTTTGTTCAGTGGCGTCACATGAACGTGAGCAGACTGACAGAGATAAACAGCAGGTTGAGCCCCTTCTCTGGTCGCTGCAGGACAAGATGAGGTGACTCACGGAGCTGGAGTTGGAGCTCAGACAGTGGAAAACCTGGAGGAGATTTGAAGCTTCATATGAGGAAGGTCACAGCCTCCTCATCGGCCCACACACGACGTCAGTGTCGGTTCACTGCACTGTGACAGTTAGGTTTTATTGATACCCTAACTTTCCACTCAGCTGAGTGTACAACCTTTTTTTTTTATTTCCGGTCGTATGCACAAACTGAAGCAGGTGGATGAAACGGCTGGCGTCACTTTGCTTGGTTGTTTCAGCTCGTCACTGACCCTCGGATGGTTCCACTGGGTGAAATACTTGTACATGTCGTGATTTGGAGAATTCAACCCACAGGCAGATGGATGGATTTTAGAGCTGCAACGATCAGTCGATGAATTGATCACCAGAAAAACACAGAAAATATCAAATTCACAGGTTAAAAACTTTCAAATGCAGATGCACGAGACAGCGGCTGTGGGAGAAGCGCTCGGGTCCTATACGGACGTAAAAGTAGCCACATCACAGTGTAAACATACTGATACATGTAAAAGTCCTGCAGCCGACATGTTACTGAAGTGAAAGTACAAATGTACTGGCATAAAAATCTACCTGAAGTACCAGCAGTACCAGTACTCGTCCTGCAGAACGGCCCGTGTCCCAGTAACGTCTCTGATACTGGATCATAGTGACTAATTACTGTGTCCATCACTTTAATGCTGCAGCTGGTAAAGGTGGAGCTGATGGTAACTACCTTATATACTTATACTGGGAAGTACTTTCCATCCTGCTGGGTAGCTGGTGGATTTCCTACTGGGATCAATAGAGTCTGATGGTTCTACTGGGTTTGGTTGAAGTTATCAGGTACATGTAGTGTAGTAAAAAGTACACGGTTTGTCTCTGACATGGAGTGAAGTCACAGGATGAAGGAGCAGGACATGGAAGTACTCAGGTAAAGTACAAATACCTCAAAATGGTACTTACAGTAAGTACAGTACTTGAGAAAATGTTTCCACGATGGGTGAAGTAATCCCTGAAAATCAACGACAACCTCTGTTTGAAATGTGGGGACACTTTGTGGATGTTTTGAAATCAATGAAGGACGTTTTGTGCGATGATGAGGACGTTTTTGTTCAGTGGGCTCAGGTTAAGAGTTGGGCATTAACATACCTCACCAACACACAGTAGAAGTACCAACACTGTAGTGACTGAAACTGAAAGCTCTGACAAACCCTTCCTGTGAATTCATCTGACGTCTTTGGTTTTGTTCATTTGCAGCTGATCTGTGATGATAAACACTGCAGGGTGTTGCACATGTCTTAACTTAGAGACAACTGCTGTCTAACGCACTTTCACATCCCATTTGTTTCATGCCAGTCAGCAGCTGGGTTCACTTCTTTTAAGGAACATTTGCTTCCAGCGATTAGAAAACGTCTAGCAGTCCATCCACAGTCCACATTTATGCTGCCACTGCTATAACTAGAGGCAGCAGCAGCAAAGTGAGCAGTAGGGTTGTTCTGAGAAATCCAGCTGTTGTGTCTTAGTGCGTTTATAAGCATCAGCCATTACACTTTTCTTAATGCAAGAAAGAAACTTGCTAGTTTGCTCAGCTTTCATCTTTGTTCTTTCTGGTGTGAATATGCAGCAGAGGGATGACGGACCAGATAGTGCACGGTGCATGGCTCAGTTAGCTGTGTAAAACCAGGCCAATGGACGTTTAGTCTGCATTAATGAATTAACGCATATTTGCAACAGTTACGTGTAGCCAGATGCAGAAAAACTGTGTGGGTCCACCATTCGTTTGTATTTGTGTTACTGAATTTTATTTTCCATACACTGACCTGCCAGTGATGGCGGCTGTGCAGAAATGTTGGCACCGCTTTGTTGACACTTCTTACTGTACCTTTTCCTACTTTACTGCAGTTTATGCCACATTCTACTTGTCAAAGTTGTCCAGTTTCCAGCTAGTAGCAGTTTTAATACAGCGTCTCACCGTAAAAGCATATTGATAAGTTTGGTTTACTGTGTTACTTGGCCTCTGTGCCCTTTGAAAGGGAATCTGCAGCCTGCTAAGCTTTAGCTCTCTGTCTGCAGCAGGGGTGGGCGGATCGATCCTAATATCGATATTATCCATTCCAACGCTAGTATTGATATTGATCGATACCCCGACAAAAATATCGATACTTTGGTTGAATTTTTACTCCCGTATGCACTGCTGCCGTTTTTTTCACAGAGGCGACCTAACTATCTTGTCAGTCTGCATCTCTAAGTAAGTGCCTGTGCCTACGTGGCGTGGCGTGCCTACGTGGCGTGCCTGTGCACCAAAGCTGCAGACAAGCTTAAAGACATTCAAAAGCAGTAGAGCTTCCCTGAACATAAGCTTATTCAAGCAATTGAGACAAGGTGGAACTCTGTGTTCTATATGTGGGAGAGGCTGTCTGAGCAAAGGGAGGCAGTTACCACAGCCCTATGTCTCCTTGGAAAGAGCTCACTTTGCTTAAGTGAGGAAGAATGGTCTGTGATCCGTTTCTCCATTGATGCACTGAGACCATTTGAGGAAGCAACCAGAGACATATCTACTGAAAAACATGTTTCAGTTTCTAAGGTGATTCCCCTGGTGTCCCTGCTTCTCAAAAGCACTGCAAACTCTGAACGGCAAGGTAGCAAGCTAGCTGCTGAGCTGTCAGCACAATGTCTTCGTCGTTTCAGGGCTATAGAAACATTTTATGGTCTTGCTGTCAGCACCTACCTAGATATTAGATTTAAAAATCTGGCATTTCGTGACTCTTCAAATGTTGAGCCTGTAAAAGCTCGACTTGTCACTGAAATGAGTCAGACTTCAGCACCT